GTGATATGAGTAAATATGGAGATACCATTATGGTTCCAGCCAGAGGTGACTCTATAGGTACCTCTCCTAGAATCCCAAGGCTTTTGGGGTCCTAAGCGACCAGCATTCTGAATTTCAGGCTCCCCCCATCTCTCTGTCTCTCTCTCTGTCTCTCTGTCTCTCTGTCTCTCTCTCTCTCTCTCTCTCTCTCTCTCTCTCTCTCTCTCTCTCTCTGTGTTGACTTAGGATACAAGAGCTATATGAGTAGTTTGAGAGGTTTATTTTTAGTTAACCGATCATGTTGATCAAATAAGTCAGTTAAGTAAATAGAAGGCTCTGCTTTTCTGTTGGAGTTAGGTACAATAGTGTCAAAAAATGGTTAAGAAAAGAGGAAAAGAATTTTAAGTATCAAAATGGGTAGGGAGTTGGCTATTAAGTAATTTGAGAATTAACTGATTCAGTGACCTATTCTCATCAACTCCATCTCCACTTCTAAATTCTAGTCTGAAACTGAGGTTGGAATTAAGGATGTTAATTAGCTGACCTTAAAAGAGAGTGATTATCCTGGATTATGGGGGGTGATGCCAAGGTAGACAGAAGTCCTTAAAAGTGGGCCCAGAATGGAACTGGCTGAGGTTTGCCTTCATGTTGTCACAAAAATGTCCTACAGTTCACTGTGCTTTATGATACTTTATGTTTACTGTTGGATGGAATTTTCTTTCCTCCTTATGGTCTCTCTTACTCCCTTGCCCCTTTGCTTTGGTAGGGAATTGATGGTAAACAGAAAAGAGATAATAGCTGGTTACTATAATATACCAAATTCATGTTCCCCAAACTGTCAAGGTGAGCAAGAGATTTTTCTTTTATTTTTTCTTATTGACTCCCTGTGTTGCCGAATCTGAAATATATTCATGTCTCTCATCTGAAGTTCAAGAGAGATTCCGGGCAAGCTCCCTGCACTGCCCTTCACCCATGGAGGCAGAATCCAACCCTACCTCTTCTGGATTTTGCTGTGGTCCTGGGGAAAGAGGAGCTGGAACTTAAAGTGAGATTGTGGGGGTGGGAAGAAGAGGGGAGGAAAGTTAGGAGGCCACAGAGAGAAAAAAAAATCAAATTTTCCTTTTCTGGCATGACAAGAGGTGGGGAAAATAATAATTTTGTACCACCTCTTGGACCGGTGTTCAGAATCAGCTTTTCAAAAGACTTCTTTCTGGTTATGAACTGAACCTATGTGTCTTCCAGAAGTTATTACCATCACTGAAAACTCATGGCTTAATCCCAAAAGGTTAAAGGGATGTTGCCATAATTTTCTTTCTCTCTCTTTTTAATGTTTTCATTAGTGCATTCATATTGTTATAACATAACATGGGGTTTCATTTTGATGTGGTCATTACAGTCATGGAACACAATTTTCTCCACTTTGTGATTTTCAACATTACTATACAAATGAAAAAAAAATATGTGTGTCAGGGAGGTACAATGATCGATGCAAGTTCATATTCAAGCAACAGGCCAGCTGGGATTCAATCTTCAATCCTGGGGACTAGGTAAGCATTCCCACATTCAGAACAGGTGACCGCTACCCCCAGATCCCAGACCCTGCACTTTGGCTGGGCTCAGTCCTCGATCTCTGAGGATGGGCCTCACTCTTGTTTTCAGTTTTCTGTCCCTCCAGATTCTTGGGTTTAATCTGGGGTCAGGTGAGAGGTGACCTGAGCAGTCTCCAGGTGACAGTGCTGGAGGCAAAGGGGTCGGAGTGGATTTCAGTGGCAAACTTTGAGCTCCCACTGAGTTAGATTTCTTCTGAACTCCTGGAGCCCAGACCTTGAGAAAAATGGACAGAGAATTTGTTAGAGGCAGTTCATTAACACAACCAACTGCCAACTTGCAGGCCCCATCCACTCCTGGCTTCTGCCACTCACAGCCCATGCGACCACTGATCACCCAGCGCCCTTATTCATCCCACGGACATGTTTTGAAGCTTGGGAAGAGCACAACCTCCTCTGACCCCCTGTTAGAGGTCAGGGTTACTCGGGCATTGAGTTTCACGGTGACACTTCTTTTTTGGTATTCGTTGAACGTGGACCATTGGCAAACACTTACTCATCTTTAAGATCTCAGCTAAATGTCAGGATCTCAGAGTTTTCACAGGTC